CCTGTGTAAGGAATGATCAGATCCTACAGATAGTTTTTGCAAGTCCATGACTTAAGCAATCGCTGATCTATGACCTTCAATAGTATTGTGTTTTAATTTTTAAACCATCCTGAGATACATAAGAAAGTCAGCTATGATAGGTATGGTGACTGGAATATTGAGTACTTGTCGCTCTCTTCTCCACTGGATGAAGACATTCCACTTAGTGTCATTCAGTGCTGCCGTTGAAAGTCTGATAAACTCGGAGATAGCTGAAATTGCTTGTTCATTAAATCCCCGTTTCTTGAGGGAACTAAAGATAGTCTCCATACGTGAAGAGCTAGTAGGTCTACATTCTTGTGGTATCTGTCCGACTTGGGCTGACTGAGAAGATTGTCCCAACAAGGCAGTCATAAGGGTTTGTCCGTCAACAAGTGAAGAAGGTCCGTGAACCATGTTCTGTCTGCCATGCTGGAGCTATCAGATAGACTACGTAGTTGTGTTAAGCGATCTTGGCTAGTACTTTCAGGTATCAATTTGAATGGAGGAAAGGCATAAGCTATCAGATTTTCCCATGAGATTGACAGGTCGCTCACTGCCCAGACTGTCGGAACAGGACTCACACATGTAGGTAGACGATTTTTCCTTGATGTCGCAAAGAGATCTAGGGATGGTGTTTCCCATTTCTCTGTGATGAGTTTGAAAGCCTCCATATTCAAGGTCCATTCTGTTGATATCACTCTGTCCTGTCTGGAAAGGGGAGTCTGCCAAAATATTCATCTTTCCCGGAATGTGACGAGCTTTTATAAGACTTTTCATGATATCCACTACTTTGAATAGTTCCTTCGTAATCTGTAGTTCCGCCCTTGTAGGGACGCTAGTATGGGATTGATGATCACCGTAAATAGCCAGGGAGCTAGTGAAATTCAGAAAGGTAGAACACAGAACTATAACCTCCGTCCGTTTACCGCAAAACGAAGGTACTTCTGACAATGAGGATGTATTGGTACATGAAGATAAGCATCCTTCAGGTATATGCTCATGAATTTGGAATTTTGTTGAATAAGTGTTCTCAAATTGGCCAGGGGATTCCATCTTGAATTTGGGAGGTTTCTTTAAATATTCCTTGTTTAACACTTTCAAGTCTATAATCATCCTCATCTCCTCCGTGTCTTTCTGGGGAACTAGAAATACCGGGGAGTAGAACCCTCATGACTGGTCTGATGGCATAATCTCTACTATGGCCCCCTTGTCTAACAGTTGTTGAATGGCCGTTACTGCTCCCGCTAGACGATCCCCTTGCAGGAAAAAACGTTACCGGCTGGTAAGTTACTGGAGGTACACTCTCCCATGGTAGCATGTAACCTTTCTCTATGACTGATAAAATCCAGCTGTCCGAGGTGATATGTCTCCAATTCTCAAAAAAATGTGCTAGCAGACCCCCTATGGGAGATTGGGAAGTCAGTTTCCAAGTCGAGGGACATTTCCCAATCGTAAGGCTGAGTAAACTGGATTTGAGTCAAAACTTCCTAGATCCCGCTCTGGTGCCATGAAAAAACCTGGTGTCCCTACTCCTGCCCCTAGAGGAGGCGTACCCATGAGTGGACGATGATGTCGACGAGGACGTATTACACGACCTAGAGCCTCCTGCCCTGTCAAATGCTGAACGTTGTAGTGGCTCCAGACATCTGTGAGTAGGTTGGCGGGAAATAGTAGCAGATGAATCACTCCTAGGCCTGGACTAAGGTTTATTCCTGTTTTGTGAAAGTAGAGCTGAAGCCAGTCTCTGGTTCAGATTACGTGATGTAAAGGCATCCTTAGCTTGAATAGCCTGACCACATTGTCCATTGAAAAGAGATTCTGAGTCCAGGGGTTGTTGAAATAATACGTCCTTAGCTGTCTCTGGTAGACTTCTAACTGAATCTAACTTATGAAGTCTCTCCATGGCTGTTAGATGTCAAAGAGTACACAGCTGATTGTGAGTTGCGTCGGCTATAGACTTGTATACCACATCCAAAAATGAGTGCACCATGGCTACTTCTTCGGCTGACATGGATACTAAGGTGTCCTTTTTTACTCCTTCATAATCTTGGAATAAAGGTGGTAATAATGCCCGGACTCGCGCAGCAAACCAGAATGTATAGGATAGTATGTCCAAGGATGAACGAGCGGCCCCATCAAAGTCCTTGAGATCTCTGGATGAACAGGAAAATGGAGTATGCCTGGCAGCTCTAGCGTCCTGAAGCTGGGCAAAATCCTTGTCCATGTGCGGAGCATAAAGTGGAATCAGTCTATCGTGAATAGCATACACCGGCTTTTGAACAATCTTGGGTAGCGCACTTAGTGAAGTCGCCTTGGAGAGGTTCAAATTGTAAGAGTCCAGTGCCGACTTAAGTGCCGATGAATGAGGAAGAGATAGCTTGGGAACCCTTTCCGGTGGCAGACATCCCGACGATCCCAGTTCTACTGGTAACCCCTCCTTCATAACAAATTCCTCGTCACGATATAGCTGAGATATTGCCGATGTGACGTCTAACATTAACTCACTCACTCATAACGAATTCTGGCTGAGAGAGAGGATAAACAGAATTAGCTTCCAAATCCGAGACGTCCGGTACAAGCGGTAAATTGGCGGCTTATCAGTGTCAAAATGATCCATGGCTCCCATGGAAATCCCGCTTGGCACGTGGCTACTGGACTGCTGGTCCTGGATACCGCTAAACCCCGTGGCAGCCGTGGCTCTTTGATTAAATCCAAGGTGGGAGACGCAAGCCAAGGGCATGGAGTCAGTCCCGCTAGGATATAACTGAGGCACATTCCCCTTGTTGGATAAGGTAGCAGAATTTGAGTGACTGGGATCAAGCGTGACCGCCTTACTCCCAGGGACAAGGGTCAAGGCTTGTTTTGCCTGGACCACAATTAAAGCCCGCCTGGGGTCAGCCAGGTTGACCCCGTCCCCGTCACATGAATCCCCTGGCTTCTCCTCCTGTGGGGAACGCCTTCTGATCCTGTCGTAAGGTGATACCCGGCTTTCTCAGGTAGAGCACCCCCAAGTTTCACAGAAACTGACTCTTGCCTCCGTCTCTTGCCATCGTCAACCCAGTCCGTAATGCTGATAAAGCATATTATACATCTTACAGCCTTTTCCGTCCGTTTTAATTATAGTTTGTTTTCATTTTTTATGAATCCACTTTAGTTTGGGCTCTGGTTCTGTGATATTACTGATATTAACAGTTGCATAGCTTTATGGATCATTTTTTCTTCAGTTCCACAATATCGTGTATATCGCATTTCTACAAAGGGCCCAGGCCATGTCTCGGTATCAAATATAATCCATGGTACATAATATTACTAACAATTACATATGTAACGGGAACGGCTTTCTGATCCTGTCATAAGGTGATACCCGGCTTTCCCTGGTAGAGCACCCCCGAGTTTCAAAGAAACTGACTCTTGCCACCGGGCGTCTTGCAGTACATAATGCCATCATGAAACAGTTTTTGTAATGAATTTATCTTGGCCTCATTCCTCATCTCCATATCGTACATAGGCTGACTAACTGAGGCCTTCAACTCTGATTTAAACGATGCAAATACATCCGAGATTGCAGAAATGTCCAAATGAGATGCATCCGACTTAGATCTAAATCTAGATTGGATTTTGATTCAGATCTCTGTGAAGATGGCATGGACCCCGAAGCACATTTTTTACTTTTGCTAGCCTCCGACGACGGGGAGCTCTTACGTTTCCTAGTCTGAGATCTTGCAGATTCCATATTTAACCACTCAACTTCTGATAGTTCTGAACACATAAGGCAGCGATCTTGCAAAGTACAAGGATTACCAGTAAAACAAGAAATGCAGAGAGAATGGGGGTCTAAATCCGGCATAAACTTTTGACATTGCACGCACTTACTCTTAGCCATAGCTAAAGTTAGACAAAGGGAAAAAGTCGGGAAAATATATAGCAAGTATAGACGTAATAATAATGTCAAATTCGATGTCCAAAGGACTAATGTCGACAACACTAACCTTTATAGGGATGAATCAGTGTTGAGATCAAGCTGATGGAAATCAAATTTTCACTCCACTCTATGCATGTGTACAGTGTATACCATACAGAAAACTTGTGAGGATTTTCAAACTTCTTAACAGTGAAGTCTAGGTCAGGGGGAGGTAACTCTGCCAGTTGGAAGGGCATACCACTAGGGATAGCTATGACTTAGTGTTAAAAATTTCACTTCATTCTGTATGTGTTTGTGGAAGCTACAGAATTAGGTAACCATAATCCAGAGGGAATGTTTACGCCTTATTTGCTATAATACAATCAGCTAGAAGGGATTTCCTGGTGAGATATTGATGAATCCTGTGAGGAATGATGTGAATTAGAGATCCCCTTTCTCTTCTGATAGATTTAGTTCAATTCGGTTATTCTGACGTCATTCCCCATATTTTCCCCATTCCCGTCATTTTCGGTTGATGACGTCACTTTCGGTTCATTGTTGGAAATATGACTGAATTGAACAAACAGAGACGTTATTGAAACACTGTTCAAAGTGGTATAAAAGCACACTCATAGCAAGTATTGATTCAGTTGTACTTAATTAGGTAATTTCACATTTAAGCAAATATGCCATTTCAAATGAAATTGCAACACCACCAAGTGGCCAGAGGCTGTATGGGCACAACGTCCTAGTATGCCAGCCCTCTGGACAAGCTCTGGACGCACCTAGAAAGGTCAACGTCCTACTTCAGCCACTGCCACACTCAGCGTAAGAATGATTTATTCAAACCAAGAATGTCTGTTTGCTAAGTTACAATACTGGTTTGCCTCATTAATTTAACAGTGGTGGGCATACTATTTTCCTTTTTGTCTATTTGTAAAGTGCTGATATACCAGTGTGTAAATTGGGAGTGTTCTCATACACTTACATGTACATACATAACAAGACTATAACAGACACCTTAACAAATGTTCCTTTTAGTTACAGTAATTTTAGAAAACAGAGTGAGAACCATATGAACTATTCCACATTCTGTTTATTGGTGCCACTTTAAGAATCACAAACATAGCATGCATATAAGAGTATGTAGAATATATAATAAAAAAAATAAAATAATTTCAAAACTGTAGTGAAGATGAATTTATCTATTGGATTTCAACACATCTGTTTATTCAATGCTTATGGATTTCAATTTATTCTGTAAATGTTTTTAATTCTGTTTTAAGCAGAAATTGACTCCACTCCATAAGACAAGAAACGAAAGACATACTCAAGGAAATATTACTTTGTAGGATATTCTCTGACGTTCAGTTAAACAGACATGATTAAATGCGTAAGGTGAATAATAGCTAAGAGATGAAATGTCTGTAAATAGGCAGAGTGCTAATATATGGTGTCAGTTATTCCAAAACCTCAACAAAGTCATCCACTTACAAACAGTTGGTGTCAGTATTACCATCAAATATTTTCAGCATACATACCAAGGACAAACAGAAAAAAAAGTATGAAACAGTTAAAAACAAACTTTACAAATAGGTCTAAATCGCAAGAATGAGTATTCTATGAAAGAAGAGTGTTGCAGTACCATTTAAATTTACTTTAACAGTTTGCAACCCAGAGCCCTCATCTTTATTTTCTTCGAATGCAATGAATGGTTTCACAAAATAATGACAATAATGACCTTTTTTTGATAAATAACATCTTCATTAGTGTGACAATTTCACACGATTCTTGCACTGATGTCAAGCATTTTTACTGAATTTGAAATTGTAATTTGTATGCTTTTGCAAACATGAAGCTCTTTATAGTAAAACACTTGTTTGTTGCAGCTGACATCTCTCTGTATATTTAAAACCAGAGAGACGTTAGGTCGTTAGGGCTAAATTTCAAAAGTGTGAAATTGATCTTTGTGCAGTATATCTTGGGTTCCAAGTTCAAACAAATTTGACACTGTCAATCATGTCCTAGGTCACTTTTGGTATGGTACTGTCATGTTCCGATATGGATGTTCACTTTCTGAAATACAAGAACGTTTAATAAATGTGAATCGTAAATAATTATGCTTATATACATATACTGAGCTGCAAAAGAAACATCATTTTTCAAAACCAAATGCAAAAGTTGTGTTACAAGGTGGTGTTTTTCTTATGATTATACCATTTGAATAACATCTTTTTCAATCCAGATTGACAGTTATTAGAACTTATTACTATCATCAGTGTGTCTCTGCATATCGACCAAATAGTTTCTGAACATATCCATCTTTGTCTAGATGCTGATAGCAACAGCCAACAATCATAAAAAGACATGTTGTATTTAATTTGCACATTTTTAATTTTTGGGATTAAAGTAACAAGTGCCTTAAATGTTTTTCAGGAGAAAAGGTATTTCTGTATTACACTATCTAAAAGATACAACACGAGGTTAGGTTAAATGCAACTGGTAATGACTTGTCAGAACAACTGATTGATACTGCTCTCATTTTCGTCATTAATAAAAGCAGTTTGTATGCACCTTCAATGTCCAGTTTGGTGAAACATCATTCAGAACAGTCCCTACCAAATTCTTAGAGAGCTTTTACGAAAATGGTTCTAAAATATAACAATTCTTGTACACTTGACACTTATTAAAACATTGGCAGATTATTGTAATAAAACAACACAACATTCATTGATATATAAATATACCAAATTATTCTTTATTTTCATTATGTGCAACTGCTACAAATTACGTTTTCATTCTTTTATGCTCTCACTTGGCCCTCATATTTTCATACTAGTAATAATCATTCTCCTCTGAGGTCGATAATCTGACTAATTTTTTTCATCATTCACCACCATACAAGGCACTGTTGACGAGAAAGCACTTGTACGCACCAGTGGTAAATGCTCTGCCACATGTTTCCAGTTGAATTCTTTCATATTCGTTGTTCTCAGATATTTGCTGATTGAGAGATGAGTAGGTCCTTGGTTCAGTGGCCTCATCTGATACAAAAATAATATTTCTGTTAGCAAATGTTGCTGAGCAAATACAGAAACATTGGCCACTTGTATTAGCTTAGACGACTGTTTTCATTTGCAAAGGTAAGCATTTACAGGTGTTTGACATATACTGGTGAACCAGCATCTTAAGGTGAGACACATGAATAAAACTTAACAATTCCAATTTACAAATGGCAAATGTAATGAAGCATATTGTTGAAACGACAAAGGATGGCACATGGTGACTGAGTTTTTTTTCTTCAAACAACTTACATGGAATTGACTGTGTGTGCCTGCAACAGACATTAAAAGAACATAGGTAAAGTACATCTGAAAGGACACCCTACGTTAGAGAACATGTATGTTAAGTTGGATTCCATTTCCTAAGTGTGAAATTTTCATTGTGACGTTATTTTCAGTTGCTATTTCACACTACATACAATGATGATAATTCTTAGAATACTACCTCTAACCCATAATTGCCTTTTGCATGAAACTGGTTCAGCTTGAATAAATTTAAAGTCCAGTGAGTGAGTATTACTTAACACCGCATCAACAATTTTGCAGCTATTTGAATCAAGTTAAAGTCGAAGGAGTTGGTTTGTCTTTATTCCTTGTAGTCCAACAAACACTATCTGCATGTGTTATATCCTCAAGAGATAGCCTCGGAAAACCTCATAAGCTTTACAAGGGTAGCTTGAGGAATGTACTCTGGGATGTTATATAATGGCAGGCTTTCCTGATACAAACAAATAATTAACACCTTGAATGTTGTCTGTGTGACGCAGCTCTCTCATTAGAGTCTGTTTTATGACTAAATGTTTATTTATTTATAAATAAATGTTTCGGAACCATCACACCAAAGCCTTCAAACCATTTCACAACAGGTAAATCCTTGTTGTTGAAACTCATTGTGAGTCTCTCTTGAAGGAATTTTTGACCTAGCCAATCCAGGTATTTGAGGCAGAATAAACCAGTGTTGATATACTAAATAATCTTCGGCTGAAAGGAATATTGTGGAAGCTTCCTCTTCTCCCGTACATTAAATATATGTCATTGTATCTTCACAAGCAAAATCTTCTTGAAGGGATAGTGGAACCATGGAATTGAGAAAGAAAACCTCTAATGCAGAAAATTTGTCGGCAAATGTATAGTGCAGAGTTGAGGTCAGAGTATATCTTAGGTCTTAGAGTAAAAAAATAATCAAAGACTGGAATCCTATGGATCTTCCTAAATATAGTCTGCATAGAGTTCAACAGGGGGGACCTTCATACTGAAAAAAAAGATAGCCAAACCTTTAATAAATTTCATTTTCAGACAAAAATCTAACACATCCCATCAGGTGAGCCACAGAAATAACTATGAACATTTTCCCCGAGTTTTCCTTGGGAGGTATGACATCTACGGATAGCATTTGGTAGACCGCAAGGAAGAAAGACATCACAAACTCTTGAAAATTGTTTTTATTGAAGCTAAACCTGTGGATTCAGAAACAGGTTTCAGGAAAAAGGTAGTCATGCTTCAGAGGGATATATTCGTAGGAATAGTGTAAGCTTTTCATGCTGAGGCTTAAAATTGTGATAAACATTTCATATATTTAATAGAGGCCCATGTGTTAACTTATTTACCACCTAAATAAAACAAGAGCAAATGAAGTATTTTATGAAAGTAAATAATCAAAATACAAGCGAACAACACTTCAATGTGAACTCGTCTCACGCCATTTCACAGGGGTCTTTGCAAATGTAATTGAACAAACGTAAAGAATTGATTACCTGGCTGTTCTACCAGCAAGTGATCCCCTCGTAAGAAATAACGAAAAGTGAAAACAAGATGATGATGGTTCGTTAAACAACTTTTTCATTCGGGTGTCCAAAATTATGAGACAAGTCATCGGAGTTGGGCTGTCAATTTCATGTGACTGTGCAAAATTTGGTTTTGTAGCAACTATTAGATTTTGTGTTAGTGAGCAATTCATCGGTCTCAAATGAAATCAAACAGCTGCAGTTCTCTTACAGAAACAGTTCTGAGCTAAGTGCTTGTTTCAGTTTGGAAAATGACACATACATTCACCATCAGTTGTTGCTGTCCTGGTAACTTTTTCACTGGTGCCAGAAATATTTCTTGCATAAACTCGAAACTGATAATTTGTCTTTGATTTCAATCCCGTAACGTTGCTTAACACAGCCCTGTGTATTCCTGGATCTGGTATCCCTGTCCTCCATATAGCCCAGTTGCTGTCACCTTCAGCAGCTCTGGAATGTTTGTAGAGAACCTCCATTGTAGTTGGAATTCCATTGAAGAATCACGTTTGTGTACCCAATTTCATTGAATCTGAACTCGTCTGGGGCAAGCGGGGCTGCTGTAAATTAAGTATTTGGTGAAAGGTAGTGAAAGAATTTGCCATTGTGACACTTTGAACAGTCTATGACGGCATATCATTTTGTCACATGCTATGATTAGCACCTTGGTGGTTAAAACTCACCAATACTTTGAAAGCATTGCATATGCTAAATTATGATAGCTGACACATATGGGTCAGTCGACCATAACTAGATATCAACATACTTGCATAGTGTTTACTAAATGACTTTCATTGACATGTAAAAGAAGAGATCTGGTATAATGTTAAAAACATGTCCGAGCCAAATCTTTATACCATGGTTGCAAATATTTACAGTCATTCACATGTATCATGTGTAGACAAAAGAATTGATCATAGCTTCCAAATCGGCAACAGTGAGTAGATTATGGTGCTCTCTCCAACTGAATTTTTTCACCCTTACAGATTACTTCCCGTAGTCACTGGCATGTGTAACAGTGATCTTGAGTGTTGTTCGTAGGTCTGTGCTGGACACAGTGTGTACAGTTGATGCCCTGATAGGCTCCAGCTGGCCCTCATTGGATCTCCACCAGGTGAAGTTCGGCAGAGGATTTGCGATCACATGAGAAACCATGTATGAAGTTTCATTGATTTCACATGTTACTGTTGGAACGAAACTTGGGTAACCTGAAAATATTAATAAATTACCATTCAAAGAACACTAAATATAGGGATTTCACCGTAGCTGACAGGGTTAGTCAAAGACCAACATCAAAACGAACAATGTCCAACATCTGAGTATAACTACAGAATGGTGAGCCTTTTGGTCGTTGCTCGTCTGCTCGGTAATGTTCACCACACAGAAAAACGACCAGCAGCTTGTGCGCAATGCACCGTGAGGGGAAGCTCGGTGTAAAGAGATATTGAGTTGTTGTGAGCTTACTATAACCCTGGTCCAGTGGCTCAAGTAGCCCTTGACGGTATGAAAGTTGACATATTATCTGTCCTCACTGAGATGAGGAATGTTATTCAAGGCGATGTCATACAACTAAAACCGGCATTTCCTGTCCGCCATGTTGGGTAAACGTGTCTAAGTGAGAGAGAGAGAAGTAATGTGAAAAACCCAGCCAAGCCCACTCACAGCATGGAGTACTGAGGTAATTTTACAAGCAGAAAAACAAAACCCTTGCGAACAGGTCATAAACCTCGAATATTGCACAGAAACTTAGCTGTGTCGTCACACTGAACACACGACCCACCACACCCGAAAACGGTGAACACCATGCCATCGTATAAGCAAAGAGAAGGCCCGGCAAGCGCTACATGCACAGCAGCTACAAACCTAGATGACATTAAAGAACTTATTCTTGCATCCGAGAAAACATTATCCGCTAAAATGGACTCTATAGACACTAAACTACAAGCGGCCAATGACAAAATCGAAATCGACGTTGCAAATATTAAACACAGAGTTGTTGAGAATGAGACTCTCATCGGGACAAACGTCGAGGATATCAGCACCATCAACAACTCTGAGAGCAGAAATAAATATCCTCCTTTTTAATGGGATACCCGAATCAGACACAAAACCAGAGGACACGGAGGTCTGGAGTTGGTTGCAGGAGGTGCGGGACACAAGGATATGAAGGAAAAGTAAACAACCCACCGTCAACAACAACAACCCGAAATGTGTTATTTACAAAATAGACTGTGATTGTGGACAATGCTACATAGGTGAAACATCCCGACGCATCAACACCCGAGTCAAAGAACATCGCACCTCTGTTGCTAATTCCGACACCAAATCAGCTATCTCTGACCACATCAAAGCTAACCCCAATCATCAAATAGAGTGGTCCGACATCACCATTCTCGCCAACAACCAAACGGACTTCACTAAACGCAAGCTCACAGAAGCCATTCACATCAAACGCCACAAGCCTACCATCAACCGTGACCAAGGATACTTCATTCCATCTGCTTATGATCCACTCCTCCACCAAGCCCAGTCTATTGTATAAACATCGCATCCATTGTATAAACATCTCTGGCTTCCATTCACTATCCTTTATGTACTCACTGGCTTCATCAGCTTGCTGCTTAGCCAATCATGGCAATTATGTTGTTTCCTTTGTCTATTATGTTGTTTCATTGTTATATACAGTATATATATGCAGCTCCTACACTTTATGTATCACTCTTGCTTGACAACGGTACAAGAATCTGTATCGAAACGTCGCACTCACGAAAATAAAGAAGTTGTTATCCATAAAACTTGTTATATATTGTACGTCTCAACTTCTAAAATGCCACTCAAACAAGTTACAAACAAATAGCAGTTTAAGACTTTGCAAGTGTTATAAACACGGACAATTCTTGTAACTACAAAATTGTTTTTGCTTAACGTTTTTAGTCACTACTAGGCATTGAGTTGGTACGCAATAAAGCTCAAATGAGACCGGCCAGAAAGCCGTGACACAATGTAAACAAATCTTCATTTCGGTTAGGGTCAACCGAAATATCAAAACTTGAAACATGAAAGAACAATGTGGCGGATATTGTCCCCTTCGATCTTAGATATTCTTCAATTTGTCACACATTTTAGGATTTTTTAAGTTTCATAAGCACAATCTGAAGGCCTACAGTATCTTGTTAACAGAGCAAAATATTCGATGAGTAATATTTTGTATTCAAACGGAAATATTGTCAGTGTCAGCTGTTGCCTATCATGCCTATCAAGTATCAAAATTAGTCCATATGAGTGCCTATAAAACCATGCTTTAAATATTTTCTATAAAGAGTTGCATGGGACTTTGAACTGAATTACCTTCCTCCAGGTTGATCGAATACGAAAACTATGTGAGAAGAATAGTGACTTTATGGAGTATTGGACGGAGTGAAATAAAGTGTATATCTTAATTATGAGAACATTATTTGAAGTTTTGTTTCCACATAAATTGGCACCCTTTGAAGAGCAACCTCCTCGTGGTGGGTGCTGGGTAACGCCAATAGCTCTTCGCCCCCGTGTGGACCCGGGGTCGAATAGGTCCACAGCACCCCATTGCTGGTCGTAAGAGGCGACCAAATTGGGCAACCCGTTTGCCGTGGGTTGCATCCCTGTGTCGGCAGAGGAAGGGAGTCTGGTGGTTGAGGATGACGGAACCGGCAATAGTGTTCAATAATCCAACACACCACTTCGACCCTAACTTTGCCTAGACGGGTGGTAGAATAGGCCCGATTCTACCAATCGGCTGGTCACGCCTTGCCCTGTGCATGGAATATCTATACAAAACGTAGTAATACATAACACTTTTGACCATGTTCAAAATGCTAACAAATATTCTACGGAACAAATTAGCCTCGCAGACCCATGCACACAAGGCGGTGGCTCATGGGCCAATCTGGTGATGCTGACCTCCGATCTCTGTACGTCTCCAATTGAT